GAATGAGAAGGGACCACTGGTTTTGGCATTGAGAAGGTTTTGGGTGATGTTGGTAAAGAGCAGTTTGAGTGGAATAGAGAGATAGAAAGCCCGATGAAGAGGATGAGAGGAATAAACAAGTACAGATCTTTCTTTAGAAGAATTTCGCAATTAAAGAGGAAAATAAGCAGTAGCTGAACAATAATAAGGCATCAAGTTACTTTTGTTTTTTAGAGATTGTTGTGATTTTCATTCCATTTGGCATCTGATTAGAGTAAGAGCAGTAGTAAGAATTATTCTTTATGAATAACGTACTATTACTACATCGTTGTGATATAACTTTGCACTGCTTGTACACATAGAGGAAAAAAACGTCAAACTTAAGACGACAATATGTGTGAACCAAGCCCATTATGCTGGAACAGCTCTTAGTGTGGCGCTGTAGGGTCAGCACTGGGCTGTGAATCAAAAGGTCGGCAGATCAAACCCCCCAGCTGCTCCTTGGAAACCCTATACAGAGTTGGCATGAATCAGAAGTGACTCAACAGCACTTAACAACAACAATAGGATGGCACATGCAGGTCAGTCATTGCTTTGAATGATAAGCTCTGGATAGAAAGTCCATTCATTAAAAAAAAGACGCCTCTCCTACTGGCCCACAATGGAATCCCGGTATGGTGCTCTGGATTACTGCACTGGAAAGCAAAGTCAATTTGAACTGCAAGATAGGTGGTTCAAGTTCACTAGCTGCTCCTTGGAAACCCTATACAGGGTCACTATGGGTCGGAATCAACTTGACAGCACTTAACAACAACTGGCCCACAATGGTCAGAAGAAGCCTTTGGTAATTTCCACTGGTGTCACTTGGAATCATTGTGCCCAGGTTGTTCTGACGCATCCATTTTGTTTGTACAAGGTCAATTTCACTTTGACCACAACTCCGACTAGGGTAAAGTCATTTGTGCCAGTACCTTCCACAGAACACTACTGCTTCTCAACAAAGGAGGCAGAGCAGTTCAGGGCACCCAGCAACATGATCTTCAAACTACTTTCAATGTTTCCAGAAAACCCACAGCTAACAATGCTCAGTAAATCTCAGTTACCTATCCTGGAATAAATCTCCCTTGTAGCTTCAGCTAAGAAACGCTTCCCTGGGGGAAGATTTATGTTAAAGCAAGATTCTTCTGTCCCTAGTATCCTCTTATCAGCTTGATAGAGACACCAAGAGTCTTCCTGAGCCATTTGATGGTTTATATTCTGGTTCTCATCACAATTTCCCTGGACATGGAAACAAAATGCCCTGATGTATCTGACCTAATGTCCTTTTCAAGGTCTTGTTCAAATTCTGATACATAACATCTGAAAATTTCTCTTATTTCCTGGTTTGTTCTTATGCACAAATCTCCATCAATATCCATTCCCAAATGCCTGCTCATTCATTGCATTCCATAAACTAGGCATCATAAAACATGGTTGGCATGAACAAAGCAACAATCTGTATTTCCACTCAACTTTCTTTTGAGATCTTGAATTCAATCCTTGCCATACATGGCCTTAAAAGCTGCTTTAATTTTTTTCCCCCTTTGATCATTGTAACAGTTGGCAACAACATCCACAACAAGTCTGCATGTCTGTCCCCAAACCTCTCAATGCTTTTTTTTTAAATGTTTGATTGTGAATTATGTAATTATGTGAAAGTTTACATGGGAGAACTTTACTTTTACATTCATCCTATCATATATCATTTCGTTGCCATGGTTACAATCCCCTCCATGCATCATCAACCAACCAAAGGATATACACTACAAGCCTGCCCCCCAGTCATCAGCACACAGCCCCTCTCCCTCTCTGTGTCTAAAGTCCCCAGCTGGTCCATTGCTCCACGTCATCATCTCTGCCTCCATCTCAGGCATCACTGCTTCTCCGGGTAGGGTCCCGCTCTCCGCTCTTCTCCCTTGATGCCCAGGGACCTCCGCTACTAGACTGAAAAGTTAATCACTCCTTTCCTTGCTACAAAACGTCTACCTTTACATTTCCAACCCTCACAGTCAGTCCTGATATCAATGCTTTTCAGAGAATTTCTGCATCTTTAATGACATCAAAGTTGTAAGCAGGTCATACTGTTCCTTTAGTGTCTTGAGTCATCGCAGCAGACTGGTTAGGGATAGGATCTTGTCCTCCAGGATACTGAGAAGGCATCTGTCCTCCAGGAAAGCCACCTGGCATTGGAATCTGTGCCAGGCCACCTCCATAAGACTGTGATGGTGGCTGTGGATAGCTAGAAACACCTGCTCCACCTTGTGGAGCTCCAAACCTTAGCCTAGAGAGACTCCACGATAGAATGTGGTCCCCCGAACTTGGGGCACAAAGACAAACTTCAGGAGCTAGAAAGCCTCCAAGGGCAGGGCAGCCTCCAGCTCCTAGGTAGCCACCGCGTGGTGGTGTTATTTTCCTCCCATTGGAGAAAAACCACTAGGATAACAGTAATGACCCAGAGGGAGAAATAATGACCCCTGGCCCACAAGAGGATATCCTGAGAAAAGTTGGTAGCATAGCCTGGGTGTGACATTCTGATTTGGAGGCAGCTGCTTCTAGGAAGCCCTATACAAGGTCACTATGGGTCGGAACCAACTCAACAACATTAATGTCTAGTAGTAATTTAGGATATTAAAATTATAAATAATCCTGTGGCATCTCAGAAATGTAGGATTATGTCTTTTGACACTGATACTTTCAATTTTTCATTTTAAAGGAAAAACTTCAGCTCTTTGAACAATTATTGGATACTTAGTTGCTAAACTTAAGGAGCTCTGGTAGTATGGTGGTTACGAATCGGGCTGTGAACCCACCATCAGCAGCTTGAAACTACCAGCTGTTCTGCGGGAGAAAGATGAGGCTTTCTGCTCCTGTAAAGATTTACAGCCTCAGAAGCCCTGTACAGTATCGCTATGAGTCAGAACCGACTCCACAGCACATAACCACCACCACCAGTTGCTAAACTTAATCAAGTAATAGCTAATAATGTCTACTTTACTGTGCATTGAATGGAGTCCTGGAGTGGCATTGTGGGAGAAAGCACTGGACCTCAAGGTTAGTTTGAACCACCATGTCAGTGGTTCAAACTCACCAGCTGCTCTTTGGAAACCCTATATAAGGTCGCTATGAGTCAGAAACAACTTGATAACATGTAACAACAACATGCATTAAGTACTATTCTAGGTACTTTATGTGCTATTCAATCATTACAGCACTATGAAATGAGTATTAGTAATTTTCATATTTTTTGGTGAAAAAAGGAGACACAAAAATTGCCCGAGCCTACATTATTAGTAGAGGAGGAGCCAGGATTCTAAATCAATTAGATTGGTTGAGTGTGTGTTTTAACCATTATATCATACTACTTCCCATGTAAGGCTAAAGATACAAATGCAATATTCCCTGCAAAAAGTTCAGATGACATCAAACCTAGGGGACTAGGGAGAGGTAAGAGAATCAACAAGCAAAGTCTTCTGAAAGCTTGAAACCTTGGTTGAAACAGACCAGATAATACTCATCTAGGGAGACTGTGAACCCTGAACATTGGTTTCTAAATGAAATCTATAAACACAGGATGAGGAAACACGATATGACCACAGTTCTTTATAAAGAATCTGGGTGGTTTTAGTGATCACCATCTCAACATGAGCCTATTGAGATGTTGCAGCTCAAAAGGGAGACACTGGACATAACAACAGAAAGAGGGCGGGGAAAGGGGGTGAACAGGGTCCAGGTTGAGGCAAGTTGTAATAATAGTGTGGAGGGAGTGTCTGTCGTCCTCTGACTTCACAATGAGAAGGACAGTCAAACTCAACATCAGTCCAAGGCCAATTCCTATGAGGCTAAGGTTAGACATAGCTCTACCCTCCAACCTTCTTTAGCAATTCTGACAGCAGCCATCTCTTCCAAGACACTCTCTGCTTCTCTGTTCAGTTTTATAATTCATTGAAATGGTCACTCAGAACCCATAGACCATACTCATACTCATAATTACGAAGTTTGTTAGGGAAGTTGTTGTTGTAAAATGCCAGGGTTCTATATAAGGTTCTGACTCACGACAACTTTATATAGAGTTTCCAAGGAGCAGCTCATGGATTTGAACCACCATTCTTGTAGTTAGTAGTCCAATGCTGATCGTACAACACCACTCCAGGAGTCCATGGGTTACAGTTCAGGATCCTAAATGCTCAGGATACGGTTCTTCAGTCAGACACATCTCTCTCTGGTCTTTGGCTTCTCAACCACATGGCCCCTTCGCCTCTGCCCTGCAAAAGCAATGTTACAAAACTCTTTAGCACTGCCTCTTGGGTCAGTACTGGATTGTGAACCACAAGGTAAGCAGTTCAAACCATCAGCCACTACTTGGAAACCCTATACAGGGCCGCTGTGAGTCAGAACTAACTCAATGGCACTTCACAATAACAACAACAGCAATAAATGTCCCAAAGACACGCTATTCCCCCAATTAAGTGCCTGGAAGTAACTCACTCCAAAAGTTAGCCTCAAACCTGAAGGCACTCAGCTTTGTTGCTCCATGCACTTAGAAACCCACCATTCTGTCTTGTGCTCTTGGTTCTATTGCTCCTGCTGTTGCTACTTCTCCACCACTTCTTTGGTGCCCCAACTTTCTGTCTCCTGGATCAAAGAGGTTCAGCACGTAGGAATCTCAGGGCCCAAAGAATGTCCTCCCCTCCTGGCTCTTATTTCTTGATAGTAGTGAGATTCCCCCTTCCTGCTTCTGAAATGGCTCATTTTAAGCCCAGTGAGAAGGCAAAACTGACCAATCCACACGTTAGAATTCCATACTCCCTGTTTGCAGTCATTTGGTGGGAGTAGCACTGCAGAATAAGCACTGGACTGCAAATCAGAAGGTCAGCAGTTCAAATCCACTAGTCATCCTCAGAAACTCTATACAGAGTCACTATGAGTCAGAACCAACTAGATAGCACTTACATAACAACATAAAGGCTATGGCTAGAAGAGCCATGTCAAGTAATTCACTGCAACTCACCTGAGCTCTGACCAGTTCAGAAGACATGTGAATCACCTGTTCCAGACAAGGAGTCATATTTTAAGAGGGACATTATTGACAGGTGTTGTTGGTAGGAAGGGATGAGGAAACAATGAGGGAACTAAAGGTATATTTTCCATCGTATGGAAATGGCAGTAGATTTAGTCTGTGTATCTTCGGAGGACAGAAAGAACAAAGATTAAAATGTAAAAGTTATAAAGAGACAAATATAACTCCTTCTTGACCTCATGCCCTATCTTAAGGTATAGACTACTTCAAAATATGGAACTTGAATCATGTTTTCCCTTGGTAGATTTAAGAGACCCTGTGCAAAGAATACTGTCAAGTTACCGATGCAAGGGATTGGATGCAGTTGGAGGCAAGGCTTTCTCTGGAAGTCTGAAAATTAGATTGATGTTTATCCTCTTGATCCATGTGTTTCTTATAGAGAAAACAGGTGGTGAATACCTAAGCTGCATCCTTGGGCTTTGAAAATGCATATTATTCTTTACACTATGTTTGCGGGACCAAGATGCTTTGAGCACTTGTTTTATTGTCTATCCTATTCTGATTAGTAATGGGTGCAACCTGAATATCCGAAGTTCTTTAAGTTTCCCAGGTGATTCTAATGTACTGCCAAGGTTGAAAGCAACTTCTTTCCTTACCTTATCTAATATGGTGATGGTATGCCGTGGAGTCAGTTCAAATTTATAGCAACCCTGTACAGGGTTTCCGAGGCTATAAATCTTTATGGCAGAAGAAAGCCTCATCTTTCTCCTGAGGAACAGCTAGTAGTTTCAAACTGCTGACAATGAGATTAGCAGCCCAATTCATAACCACTACACTACCAGAGCTCCTTATAGATACCATGTAAACACAGGAATGGGACGAAATGCCTTCTTAAATCTTTATTGTCAATTTTTAAAAAATCCCTTAGGAGAAATTCCTTTGTCATTTCAAAGCATTTCTATGAATATTCTCCTTATTACTCAAATATGAGTGGATTTTACAGATGAAAGAGCTATGAAATGGCCAAACTAGCAGAATTCTGGCCTTATGCCTCAATGCTTTTCCAAAAACAAAATCTTTTTTATTGACCCTGTATTATTCCTTATAGTATTGGCTGGTGATATGAGTAAAATTTTTTCTCAAGAAAACTATTTTTCCATGAAAATCAATAGAATACAATATAATAATTCTGGTCTATGATCTTCCAGAGGCTAATTTGCAATGAATGGCCTAGGAATGAAACAAACAAAAATGTCTGCACCAATTAATTCCAGAACTCCCAAAAGCACTTTTCCCAATCTTTGAAATTTACCACAAAGAAATAAACTCCCTCTTTTCTCTCTTTTGTTGTTGTTAAGATTTAAGTTAATGCCATAAAATTCATTATATTTGCTATTTGCAATTTATAACCCCACAGTATTCTTGTGTTTATGAAAGTGTTGTATGCTCATTGGTAAGTACTGTCTTGTCCTCAGGGGGAATAAAAGTTAATTTAAAATTTGAAAAAAAAAAAATAAACAGCAATAAATGTGCCAAATCACTAGTAAAGCCCATTGATTTTTCAATCAATTTCCTTTTGTGGGGTGGGGGATAAAATTGCAGGCGCTTAGAACCAATTAAGGAGCTCTGGTAGTGTAGTGGTCACGAATCGGGCTGCGAACCACAAGGTCAACAATTCAAACATACCAGCTGTTCGTGGGAGAAAGATGAGGCTTTCTGCTCCCGTAAAGATTTACAGCCTCGGAAACCCTGTACAGGGTCGCTATGAGTTGGAACCGACTCCACGGCACATAACAACAACAACAGAACCAATTACGTGTCATTCTCTAGGGGTTATGATGTGAGGAAATTAGATTTCTCCTATTTGCTGAAGAAGTGTTGCCGTGGACTATTGGAAGACATTTAAGAACACCCTCCCTTCAGTATAGAATCTGTTTAGCAGTTTCCTGACAGGTGGAGTTTAAATCCTCCCTAAGAAGAGCAACTCTGTAATTCATAAGAAAATCAGGCACTACAAAATTCTTTCTTAGATCCCAGAGTATTAATACTTGAAGATATGTTTCACTCATTTCATAAGCCAAGGCCAGTAAGGCTGCATTTTCCAGCGTCTCATTGCTTAGACAAACCTAGGTAGCTTTATGAGCATGAACTTGTACTTCACAGACCTGGGACAATTCCCAGATCTGTGACTTATGTCACTTTGAGTCTTATTTCTTCACTGTAAAATTAGCAAGATAATTATTTAAAAAGTTATGTTGAAAATTAAATTAAATATGGATAATACGGCCCAGCACAGCTCCTGGCATATATGATAGAATAAGTGCCAAATAAGTGCCAAGTAATTTTTTTTTTTTTTAAACTGAGTCAATTCTACTGACACTGACCCTATGTGTGTCAGAGAAAAACTGTACTCCGTAGAATTTTCAGCTGTTGGTTTTTCTTTCAAGGCACCTCTTGTGGACGGGGCCAGCCAATCTTCCAGTGAGCCAACCTTTCAGTCACAGCTCAGAGTGTTAACCTTTTGATCCACCCATGAATCCAAGTGGCCAACAGATGTTGTTAAACTTTTCCCTTTCTTCCTATGAAAACCTTCCCTCTTCTTTGAGACCTACTTTAGATGTCCTCTTTTTCATGAGTCGTCCTTACAGTTTTCACTCCTTTCTTCACATGTTTTGTGTTTACTTATAATTTATATAGGGAATGAAGATTAAATGACCAAGTGAATAAATGGCTTAATCCCTTCCTCAGTGTTGGAACAACCTTGTGCTTATCTGCCTGACTGACTTCAATTCTCTTCCTCTGCAGAGGCCTTTTTGACCAACTCCACTGACACCTTCACCCACCACACCAACACCTTCGTCATCAACCACACCAGCATCAATCACACCAACACTGGCACCATCACCTTGGAGGAAGGCCAGACGCTTGTTCTACAGTGTGTTGCTCCTCAGGAGGAGAGCTCTTCCTTCCAGTGGATGGCTCCCTCAGAGTTTACCATTTTTTTTAATGACCAGCCTGGTAAGTGAAAGGAAAATAAAATCACCACCAGACCTCAATATGAGGGATTTTCCAGACATACAGAGTAGTAGTAGGAACGAAAGCCAGCATGAGTCACCCAAAGGGTGGTCTCAGCCCACCTACTGTTACATGTGAATCACAATTTGAAGCCTATTACTTTATAAGTGGTTGGTTTTTCTCACAGGAAGTCTGAAATGGAAATACCACCAGAATGGTTTGTAAAGGGGACTCAAATGACAGAGTGTCTTTCTGTGTCCCCACCCAGGTACCACATTCACTTTCTGTTGATAACCTTGAAACTATTAACAACACAGTGATTGACAGGTGGCTGGGTAACACCATCACCCTACATGTGGAATGAGCTACTGTGTGTCCCTTCTGAACAGCCCAAAGTCTCACCACAAAGCTGCCCTCCTGAGAGTCCATTTCCTCCTAGTGGTCTTAGTGTAAAATTGAGTATCACCAAGCAAACTGACATGTTGTATTACTTTAGACACAAGTGAAGTCATTCTTTTCACATGAGATGAACCCTAGATGCCTGAGATGCAAAGGGCCTCATAAAAAAAACTATTAAATTCAGCACTTTGACTTCAGTAGCATTTGACTCAATGAAACCATTTTTATACTTCCATTTATTATTTCTAACCCCCAAATATATAATAGTCCCCAGAACATCAACATTTATCTCGCTTATGAAACAGGCCTCTAAAGATTTTTTTTTTAATCTTTGAAAATATTATTAAATTATGATACTTCAAAGGTTAAGTAACCAAATTGATTGTTTTTAGTTAAATCAACTTATTATTATTTAATACTAGATTCTAAGAGAAGAAGTAGGTACTGTTTAACAAAACTTCTGAGGGGAAAAAATATAAGAAAACTTTAAGTCGACATGTCCTGTTTGATAAAGCATTTTGTTGTTTTATTTTATTTTTATTTGTTGGCAAACCGGAAGAAGCTGACCATCTCACACTGCTGCAGCCAAGTGCCTTAATCTAGCTCAAGGGTTTTCAACTGGGGGTGATTTTACCCCTCAAAGGACATTTGGCAATATCAGGAGATACTTTTGGTTTTATAACTGGAATCTTCTGGGTTGTTGTTGTTAAGTGCCATCGAGTTGGTTCTGACCCATAGCGGCTCTATATAGGGTTTCCGAGGAGCAGCTGGTGAGCTTGAACCGCCAACCTTGCCGTTCAAACGGCTTTGCAATCTGGCGCATTAACCCACAGTGCCACACCAGAAATCTTCTGGGTAGATGCTGCTTAACCTCCTTCAATGCACAGTACAATCTCCAGTCCCCCACTATGAAGAATTGCTGGTTCAAAATGTCAGTAGTGCCAAGTGGAAAGCCCTGAATACTAGCTCGTATATATTACATTGTCAGAGGTCTCACAGCATTGTTCCTGATAGGAACAGCCTGCCTGAGTCAGTCACTCAAAATACAGCAATTTTAGACTTGCCCATAGCATAAATCTTAGTAAAAATCAACAACAAAACAACAACCTCATTCATTTCAGGAATGTCTCATTTGTAATTGATCTTTGACCTAAGATGGAAATCCCCTACAATCAAGAGAAACACATGCTGTTGGTTGAAATTTCCTGGGGTTTTCATCTTTGCCATGGGCTAATGACTAAGTCATATTCTTTGAGAACATTCTTATTATAATTAACTTTTTAAAATTAATAAGAAAAGAGACCCAACTGGAGTAATATACGCTGTTGTTAAGTGCTGTCAAATTAGTTCTGACCCACAGCGACCCTGTATAGCGTTTCCAAGGAGCAACTGGTGAGCTTGAACTGCCAACTGTGTGGTTCAAACCGATTTTGCAGTCTAGCACATTAACCCACAGTGCCACACCAGGACTCCAGAGTAATGTATTGTTGTTGTTGTTAAGTGCCATCGAGTTGGTTCCGACCCATAGTGACTCTATATAGGGTTTCCGAGGAACAACTGGTAAGCTTGAACCACCAATCTTGCAGTTCAAATTGACTTTGCAGTCCTGCACATTAACCCACAGGGCCACACTGTTGTGACTCCTATATATACATGTAATTTTAAATCCTCCCACAATTGAACATCACACAAGCTTAGTATTCTTACTTACAAGCACAAATAGCAAAAATAACAGATTCCAGTTTCAAAATATTTCATTTCTTAAACTATTGAGAAGCAGTCAACTGCCAACATTAGAATTTTGAAGGCAGCTAAATCGAAAACATGGTGTTTGTTTCTTGAAAGTGTAAGAATAAAGCTCTTCTTATGAGTAATAAATTCACTGAGAGTCTATGTTTATCTGGTACCTTTCCTCATAATCACTCTTTTACCTTCCTGCACAGCTTTGAAAAGTTCCAAATACCAGCTTGTACATTACTCCAGCAATCAACTCTCCATCCGCATACCTAACATAACTCTGCAAGACGAAGGCGTGTACAAGTGTTCACATTACAGCAGCACCTTCGTGAGAACAAAGGAAGTAAATGTGACTGTGTTAGGTAGGTGTCGGAAAACAAGTAAACCTAGCAAGGGAATGGGATACTTATGGAGGAGATATATTATTTTTAAACTTAACATTTGAGTTAAAAATAATAGTAATAATGCTGCCATAGCAAAGAATTTCTTAGGCCCCCTGTCATCTTTGGCTGAAAGGAAACAGGAGAGAACATTTTCAGTGGTCTGTTTGGGACAAACTCTGAATATGGTTTGTAATATTTGTCTTTGGTTCCAACTACATTTCCTCTCAGGATAATTAAAAGGGAAGAGAATTGCTATTTGACAAACTGTGACTCTCTGCCAGGCACCATGTGATGCTCAAGGGAATCAAAGACGAATTAGGCAACATCGCTGACTATAAGGAAATCAAAACATGCTTGTAAATAAAGTTAAAAAAACAAACAAAACTGAACGTATGTACCAAGATCGTATTTATTCAGATGTAAGGCTAGGCAATTTGCTCACATCCTGTGCTCAGTGGGAATTCCTACTTTTTGTCAGGAGTGTAGGGATGCGGGCAGGGAGTGACAAGCTCGTGATAGTCGGGGACATATTCAGTTGTGTCCCAGTATAATGAATGGTCATTATACCAGTCAATTATGACCAGTGTAAGTTTCAAATCTTTATTGCCTTGTTTTGTGTGTGCACATGCAGAACAGATCACTTCAAATTGTTGTTTTTCATTATTCTCTAAATAACAATGTGGCACTGTAGGATAAGCACTGGACCACTAGCCACAAGGTCAGTGGTTCAAACTCACCAGCCACTCCTTGGAAACACTATATAGGGTCGCTATGGGTTGGAACCAACTCAATGGCACTAAACAACAACAAAAACCTATTACACAAATGAATTTCTTAGACTTCTTTTCATGAATTATTACAGTGTGGGGCCTGAGGGAAAGTAACTGAGAAGTGACCTCCTGTCAGGTTTTGTGAACCGATGGGCTTGCCTCCTTCCACACTTACTGACCACCTTAATACTCACCACATGGCCTTCTAATGAACAGGTTAAGATTTGAGTCCACCACTAGACAACTAGCTCCTTGAATGGCTAATCATTGGCTTGTCAACATCTAACACATCTAGTGGTTAGTTGGATGAAATGAAATTAGTAAATGTGAAAGAGTACAGTTCTGGATCAAAGTTCAAAGTCAAGTGGAAAAGTAAGGAAACCTAACTAAAATGATTTCCCAAGTCAGGAGTAGAAAGAAAAAGGACAAAATGACTATTTATAAGAGAAATCCATCTTTGATGTCAGGAGGGGACAGAAGTAACTTACATTGGGATGACCCATACATAGATTCATAACATGTAAGCTAGAATGTCTTATAATTTATAAAGCAACTCTTCCTTGTCAAGACAAGGAAACTAATACACCCACAACTTACCCTCCTGCCTTCAACTGTTGGTGACAGAGGAGGGACTAATTATGGACTTTTCTGGGAGTAATCACACAGAGTAAGCAACATTCTGAATTTAGCCAAAGGAAATTTGCAAGCACATAAAAGCTCTTTAACCTGAGTGTATACTGGAAAAGGTCGAGTGAAAAAATGTGCCCATAAATTTTACCATACCCTAGAATGATCCTTAAAGATTACTTGGATCTGTGCTTTGTTGAGACATGTAGACCAACTAGTTGTTGTTAAGTGCCGTGGAGTCGGTTCCGACTCATAACGACCCTGTACAGGGTTTCCGAGGCTGTAAATCTTTACGGGAGCAGAACGCCTCATCTTTCTCCCGCGGAACCGCTGGTAGTTTCGAACTGCTGACCTTGCCGTTCACAGATTCGTAACCACTACGCTACCAGAGCTCCTTAGACCAGTAGTAAAACGCAGGAAATCCATTTTCTTCTAGCAACTCCTCGCAAAGCATTCCTGGACATTTCAACTATCAAAGTTAAAAATGAGGAACACCACGTCATACTTAAATGCTACACCATAGGAAGTCGGCCGCCTCCGGAGATAACGTGGCACTTGGGGAACGGCATAGAGTTCTACAGTAAGTAGAGGAGTAGTTCTCAGTCTCTCTTTGTTTTCCCTCCTACTTACATTTCCAAGGGATTTTTAAAATGTTCTGGCACCCTCTGGTGGTAGTAAGTGCCAAGGACACCATTCAATATTTCATCCTTTCTTTCCCAAATGACCTTTATAACCAATCAATATTATGTCTTAATCTGGAATAATAACAAGTACTTGAAAAACATTTTTTTTTTCTAAACAAAGTAAAAATTTAAAGTGGGATGTTGATTACACAACTCCTAGCATAAGAGATGCAATATAGTTATTAATCCTGAGCATAGTAACTTTGTTTTTTTTATCAGACACAAAGTTGAGAATACATTTTTAACATGATACCTGTAATTGAGCCAGACATAGTTATGCTTATATGATGTAATACTGTGTCACACTCCCAATTACTACAGATGAAAATATTACAGTAACATAGAATCTAAACCAGGAGCCTGTTGATTCAAGAAGAGTAACTAATTAATTGTGACTTTCTTATTTGCTTATATTTAAACAAACCTTCCATTTATTAACTATGTAATCATGGGTCCTTAGAACTTTGCTGTTGTTGTTAGGTGCCGTTGAGTAGGTACTGACTCATAGTGACACTCTGCATAACAGAATGAAACACTGCCTGGTCCTGGGCCAACTTCACAATTGTTGACACGCTTGAGCCACTTGGCCAATCCATCTCTCTAGGTGGGGGTCTTCCTCTTTTTCTCTGACCTTCCACCTTACCAAACATGATATCCTTCTCCAGCGAGTGATCCCTCCTGACAATATGTCCAAAGTATGAGACATGAAGTTTGGTCATCCTGGCCTCCAAGGAGCACTCTTAGAAATTTGTCATTGTTATTAAGTGCCATTGAGTCAGTTCCGACCCATAGCAACCCTGTATAGAGTTTCCAAGGAGCAGCTGATGAACTTGAACCACCGACCTTGCAGTTCAAACAGCTTTGCAGTCTGGCGCATTAACTTAGAGCTTTAGGGGACCCTTTATAGATCAGAAAATTCAGGTCCAAATGGAGTTCTAGAAAAAAGACCTAAAACTAAAACCCAGATCTAATTCCCAATCCAGTGTCATTTCTACTTTATTGTATGAATAAAACTTATGTTAATTTGCCTGTATTGATGCAACCTGAATAACATCTTGGGTCTTTGTGTCTCACAATGCCATCAGGGTACCCTTCTGGAAGGATCACTCTAAGCTTTGAACTTGCTTCCAGTACTGAAGGGTTTCAAAGAAGACTTAGTACTACAGTGGTTCAGCCTTCAGCTGCTAACTGAACCGTCAGTTGTTGGAACATACTAACCAATCCACAGCAGAAAGATGTAGCAGTCTGCTTCCATCATGGTGTGGCGCTGAAGGATATTAGGTAGTTTGAACCACATGGTTGGTAGTTCAAATTCACCAGCCTCTCCTTGGAAACCCTACAGAGAGTCGCTATGAGTCAGAACTGACTCGACAGCACTTAACAACAACTACTGCAAGTGACAGGTTTATAGTAATGTTCACTCTTGTTCACTTGCTTCCCTTTCTGACCAGTGCCAAACATGTACTAGGGAGACTAGCTGATGATAAAAGTTTAATGTTTTTTTCCACAAAGTCAAAGCCACTGGAGTCTGAGAGAACCAAATTTATCCAATATCATTTCATGGTCTGAATCTCATAATCATCTTTAAATTGCTATCTAGGTGAAACTCAGCAGACTTTTGAAACTGATGGGAAGAAATGCAATACAACCAGCACACTCATAGTGCGTACATATCACAAAAACTCAACAGCGAACTGCATTATCCAACACAAAGGACTTCAAGAGAGAAAACTGGTAACAGTCTTCCGGTTTGAAGATTTGGGTAAGAAGAGTAAATGATTATCTTTAATCATGTATAATTTGCCTGACTATTATACTATCAAACAAATTAAATTGAATGAACATAGTCCTTCAGAGTCAGATTATTATCAACCAAGCTCTCATTAATAGCAAATTGCTTTAATGATTAACATTTCTGGGTCACAGGGTGGTTTTGAACTGTTTCAATGTTCAAAAGAAGCTCAGTTGTGAGGAAAGGGCAGCAAAGCACCATATGTAAACAGTGTCATGCTTGTTTTCTGTTAATGACATCCAGCACAACTTGCCCTTAAATGGTTTTATTGTAGTGCTGTATTTGGAGAGATCAAATAAAGCACACTGCATCTTTGTACTTGACCCAAAAGGAGAGAACACTAATTGAAATAAATCTCAACTTGTCTATATAATTTTATATTATCAGAAAACCCTCACAGTGTCATATCAAAACATGGTTACTCTTTATAGTTACAATTCAATTTACTTGTATAAGATTTATTTTGTTACAGCTGTTTTGAAGATATTGGTTTAATCATGTTAATATTCTGAGCAGATCACCATTTAAAACATGAAATACTCAATGCAAAGAGATCTCACCTCTCCTTTCAGAATCTCAGTTCTCTAAACCCTTCTCCGAAAGTCCAAGGAAAAAATCGTGAAACTATACAGGGGGTCTCTTATCAAAAATAACATGAATCATGAGCCATGTATTAGTACTACACAATTAGTAGGAGCTTCATAAAGTTCTTCTCATTGTTAAAAGAAGTTTCTGAAGTACAAGGAATCACTCACATGAGTGAAGGAGGAAAATGGTGGATGCTGATGCATTTGCTGAGAAAGCGCTTTTTATTAAATTTGCAAGATAAATAACCAAGAGTGGAGTTGTTTAGTCGCTGCTAGGAAGTTGAGGCACTGCCCTATGCAAGGGAGTTACTGCTGTGGTTAACCTGTCTCTCTCACTGACACAAGGAGCTCTGGTAGCGTAGCGGTTACAATTCGGGCTGCTAACCTCAAGGTCGACAGTTCGAAATTACCCCCCGTTTCATGGGAGAAAGATGAGGCTTTCTACTCCCATAAAGATTTACAGCCTCGGAAACCCTGTGTAGTTGGAACCAACTCCATGGTACTTCACAACAGCAACAACTCACTGACACTGACACATGCTTTCCACAGGTCACTTTCTCTTCAAACCAACAGTAGTTATTTCATAACCTACAACAGGAGATTTAAGACCCTACAACCTCCTGGACTGGACAAATATTTCCATCTCTTTATGATTTACTCTACCCCATCCCTACACCCCATCTGTGGAATGTGGGAGGACTACCAAAGGCAAAATAAGACTTTACCAAATGTTTTCCAAAGATATTCAGATGACTAAATAAGAGAACCAACAACATGAAAAAATATATGTATATATTTTATACTTTTCATCAATTGTTCAAATCACCTACAAAAATTACTACTGTGGAGGGGAAATGCAATTTCTCCTCCTTTGTAAAGGAGTTGTAACTAAAAATAGCATTTTTAATTGTCTCATAGTTCCACATCATACAAAATGATTAAGGCTTGGCTATTATTTATGAACTAGCTATAGATTATCTAGCACCCACTGTGGGATTATCAGCAAGCATTCAAAGTGGAACTCCACCATCAGCTGTTAGTGACTTCCATTTGCTTATGAGTTTTATCCTTTGGTGAGGTACTAGATTGATGTACAGATATTACAAATATATATTGAAAATATAAATATTACAAAACTGATTTCTGATTGGTTTTAAATTGCTGGAGATGCCAATTTTTAAAACACTGTAAAAATCATTTACAAGTAAATGTTTTAAAACATGTTTATAGTAAGGATTCTGACCCCTTTTATCTCCACACACTGTAAAACAAGACCTGGAGGAAATGAGACTCATGCAAGCATTGTGATTTGAAAAAGAGACTTAGCTTAAAAGCCAATAGAGTGATGCTTGAAAGAGAGCAGAGCAACAGGAAGAAATTAGACCATCTTCAAAATTATTTATCTTATCTTTAGTATTACAAATGAGCAACCTAGGTTTCCTGTTACAACTGGACTGCACTAGAAAATGACTAGAATAATAGTTGGCAAATATTTTTGTTTCAGGACCTTTTTATACGTTAAAAATAATTTTAAAACAATTATGAAACCCCAACAATCCGTTAATATTTATCCAATAGAAATTAAAACAGAAGACTTTTACGTTTGTATTTATTAATTCCCTTAAAAATAATAAATTCATTACATATTAACAGAAATCGCCTATCTTTTAAGGGGGTGGGGGGAATCATATTTTGCAACACCAAAGAAATTAGTGAGAAAAATGGCATTGTTTTTACACTTTTGGAAACCCATTTAGTGCTTTGCTTAATATGAGAAAGTTAAGTTCTCATAACTTCTGCATTCTATTTTATGCCATATCTTGCTTTGCTTAAGTTATATTTTTTAAAATTCAACCTCACACAAATACATAGTTAGAAGGGAAGAGTATTTCAACAGACTTTTCAGATAATTGTGGATATTCTTCTTTGATACTACACCAAAACTTGACAAGAAGCGATTTCTTAAAGGTTAGTTGCAATATGAACTCTGAAATCCTATTATGCATTTTTCATACTGTGATCATTAAAATCCATTAAATAGTCTTGTACTTGAAATGAATGTTTTACTCATGTTTTATGTATATTTTACGTACATATGTTTTCAAAGCACATTCATATCATTATCATCACCAATCTCATTAGAAAAGTCTTATATATGAGGAAACTTTCAAGTGCATGGTGGTGGATACAAGTTTTCCAAAATTCTAGTTTTCTTACTGAGCACTTGAAATGTAGCTAGTACAACTGAAGGAAAACATTTTGAATACTATTTCTCTTTTAATTCACTTAGTCACTGGATGGCTACTGGCTACTTATTGGACAGTACCATTTATAACATTTTGGTAGACTAGAAAGAAAATCATATCTTACTAGTATCTACCTAATAAAAACATCATTCAATCTAAATGCATATATTTAGCAGCTTGTCAACTGAGAGGATAAATCAAAGTAAGAACCAACTGTACTTTAAAAAAAATTATATACATATATATAGATAGATAGATATATGTATAAACGGAATCCTGGTATGGTTCTCTAGGATAAGTACTGGACTGTTAGCCCACAAGTTGACAGTTCAAACCCACCAGTCTCTCCTTGGGAATCTTATACAGGATCATTAGGACTTGGAACCAACTCAATGGCACTTAACAACAACAATAACATATGTATAAACACTCACACTAGTTTTGTATATAAATATATAATTAACTATATCAGCATAGCATACACTGTGCTGCAAGATCTTAATTATTATCAATAAACTTTATTTTATTTGTCTGCAATATTGTTGTGTTGTTTAGTGTCGTACTTCTATTTAGCTACCTTTCAGCTTTGTCCTGTTTTCACTATTGTTGCTGTCATCTTTCTTCAATGTTCCCTGGCATCTTTGTGCTCACAGAACTCATTTTAACTTTGTAGTCTAGTCTATATTATCATTCCTCTAATATTTCTAATGGAGTCCTGGTGTAGTGCTGTAGGATAAGCACTGAACTGTTAACCACAAGGTCAGTGGTTCAAACATACCAGCCGTCCCTTGAAACCCTATACAGGGTCACTATGGGTCGGAATTGACTCAACAGCACTTAACAACAACAACGCTTCTGACACTGGTGACCCCATATATCTCAGAGTAGAACTGTGCTTCACAGGAGTTTCAATGACATTATTTGGAAGTAGATGGTGAGGCCTTTCATTTGAGTAACCTCTGGGTGCACTCAAAACTCCAACCTTCCAGTTAGCAGCGAAGCACGTTAACCATTTCACCTCTGAGAACTCCGACTAAGCAATAGGAAAGTAGATATATGAATAGACAGACAAACAAAAAGACATACAGATGAATGGATGGATGGATGGATGGATGGATGGATGGATGGATGATGGATGGGTGGATGAGTGTATGGATGGATAAGTGGATAAGTGGGTGGATGGTTGGATGAACAAACAGATATATCCAGACAAATATATCCAGATAAATACAGGTAGACACAATGAAGGTTCTTTGCCTCCTGTCAAATACAGACTATGCAGAGGTCCAGCTATACTTTTAAGCTAGGCAAGTTAGCAGATGGGCAATCAGCAGGACACAGATTCAAAACCCAGAGCAAGAGCTGCAGAACACATAGCTCTGAGGTTTCTGCAAATCTTCCACAAATAAATAACAGCCAGATACATTCTCAAATCTAGTTTACTGAGCACAATGTGGGTAAAATTTCTCTCCATAGTTGCAGAATTTTGCTTTTCTTCTTTCCTAGTTACTGATCAAGTTTCAGATGCTCCAGAGGAAAGGACTTCGCCCTCTCAAGACCCTCAGCAACCCATGAGCACCGGTAAGTGTTTAAATGGTCAAACGAAAAAACAATATTTTTTTTAAAGTATGCCTCCTTGGGAAGATCATTTTTTCAAATCTAATTTTTACTTGGATAGGCATCAGAGTATTGTGATAACTTATAGGGTCAGTGCAATTCTGCTCCTTGAGAAAACAATAGATATATGTGCATATCTATATTACATAATAATATAAAGTCAAGTGTCACAACCAGAAAACTTTTAAAAAGATTATTCTGATTATGACATTTGAACTTCCACAGTAGTAAAAGGCAAGTAAATTCATTTATGTGACATTGGTTTGCTTTTTTTTGCTGTCTAGAACAGACCAAACACAAAATAAAGACGCCGGATCTGGAGATTTGTATTAGAGATCACACAGGACCCTTTGTGACTTTCTTTGTCACTGAATAACAAAATCATGTTTGAAGGCACTTTAGTTATTCTGTTGCCAAGGACCCCGATTTTCTTGTGTATTTTATTGTGGATATATATATATATATATATATATACGTAATATATATGTTATATGTGTGTATATATAAACATATATATGTATTTAAAGTGGAGTTCTAATGTGACACCGTGGATTAATGCACTGGACCACAAGATCAGCTTGAACTACAAGGTTGGAGGTTCAAATTCACGAGCTGCTCCTCAGAAACCCTATACAGGGTCGCTATGGGTTGGAACCAACTCAGCAGCACTTAACAACAACAACAACAATAACAATGTACTTAAAACCTATTCTGCCACTATGTTTCTTGACTAGATCAATTAGTCAATTTATATTTACTATAATTATCAATAGAGAAGGATCTATTTTAGTCATTTTGTCATACTTTTTTGTTTAAAAGAGGCACACCTTTGACATATATTGATCATAGGTTAAAAGCCAAAGAATGGGGGGAAACAATACCAAGCAAACAGTAATCAATAGGGAGTTATTATTGTTGTTGTGAAGTGCCATGGACTCAGTTCCAATTCATAGTGAACCTGTATAGGGTTTCCGAGGAGCAGCTGGTGAGCCTGAACTGCCAACCTTGCAGTTCAAGCTGACTTTGCAGTTCAGCACATTAACCCACAGTGCCACACCAGGACTCCGAACAGAGAGCAGAAGTGACAATATTAAAGAATAAAAGGATCAGTTAACCAAGCAGCCTGAACCCCAAAACATATAAAGCAAACATTTTGAATTAAAGTTAGAAGTACATCTATAAAAGTGGTTGAAGATTTTAATACACTACATTTGATGGATAGAACAACTAGAAAGAAAGTGACTGAAGAAACAGAAAATATGAATAGCACCAACAGACATAGTACACCGCTCAATACCAGCACAGGATCCATTGTACTGCAGTGGACGTGTGTCTCAGACTATTTTACAGCAGAAAATTTCAAGAAATTAAAAAATATTGGAACATATGTATGTATATAACACAAAACATTTGTCAATGCAAAATTTTTCACATGTACAATTCAATGACTTAATTACACTCAGGTCATTTTGGTGATGAGACTGAGATACGAATATAAAAGAATTTAGAAATCCACTAACTGATTAATTTGGAGCAACAATAATAATATATTTAACTTTTCTTTGTATTTCACTTAACATGGTAGCTAGCAATAGTCCAGGTATAGAAAACGAAGCATGAATGGATGAATGAATTTGTTATGCTGCGTCATCTAGAAAGACATAAATTCCTACATGTTCAATCTGTTTCATAGGGTGTCTCTATAACAATTTCATTTGGATAAATAAGTGCTTTCATATCATTATCATGTTCATAGCTTTGAATAACATATCACATTTTTACATTTTGTATCCTGAATAATACTTAGAAGTGACAATTTGGAGTTTTAAAAACACTGGTAAATACAATATGTACCATGAAGTTGTTTGAAAGGCAATGGAAATTGAAAATATTATGAAGTGGAACAGAGCCATCACTTGCTTGTAAAATCCAATTTTTTTAAACGTGTTTAGAATCTAGTTGTCTTTAAATTGGTTTATACCACTACTAAACAACTCAATTTTCTGCTCTGATTTTTCATATATAGCATATGATTTGAAAAAAAATATGGTTTCTAAAATTCTTTCAGCTTTCAATTTCTATGGTTTCATTACTGTTAATAATATCCATTTTCAGGAGGAAAAAAAAAAGTGATTTAATTCCCCTGAAAGACCACATAGTGGCGCTGTGCAGCATGCTAAAACCTAAGAGACCTCAGAGTGGAGAGAGAAAAACAAAAAACAACACAAAAAATAGGGAAGATAACAAAAATCAGAAAAAGAGCTCTTGCTTTTTAAAACTACTCTTGTTTAGTAAAAACTTTATATTCCATCCCACTTCTAAGGAGAGGCAACCATAGTTTAAATGGCATCTGGGCCTATTTTTTAGCAGACAAATCATTGCTTTGTGTGTTTCATACCCAGGCTCTCTATCCACAAAGCCCAGTACGCCATTCCTCAGTGTTCAGTTGGTTACCTTGAAGCATCCTACAGACCTTCTCCTTAACAGGTCTGATTCATGAAGAGAGTACAGTATAATATAGTATGTTGTTGTTACGTGCTGTCAAGTCAGTTCTGACTGATAGCAACCCCATATAGGATTTCCAAGGAGCAGTTGGAGGATTTGAGTTGCCTACCTTATGGTTTGTGTGATCTGATCCTACAGCGCTATACTAGGAGTCCATCTACATATACATATATTAGGAGTCCATAATATAGTATAGAATAGTACATACAGCATAGTATACTTTGTGTTATTAATAGTTTAAAAGTTAGGTTCTGAAGGTAGGAAAAAAACAAAACAAAACTGAGTTTCAATATTGGCTCTACCATTGATTTGATGCTAGACTTTGGGCAATTTACCTAACTGTCCTAACCCTCTGCTTTCTCAGAGCTGTGTTGAAAAATAAGATATACAAAGTGTTCAGTACAAGGCCAAACACAGAGTAAGTGTTCAATTAAAGTTTACCTTTTAAAAAAAAAAAGAAAAAGAAAATTGCCATTTGCAATTATTTTTGCTAAAAAATTTCTCAAGCTTTTGGGAGAAGACTAGAGAGAGAGAGAAAATTCCTGGGTGGTGGAAATAATTAATGTGTTGATTGTTAATTCAAAGGTTGGAGGTTCAAGTCCACCTAAAGTTACCTTGGTAGAAAAGGTGTAGTGATCTATCTCCAAAAAAATCAGACATTGAAACCCTAAGGAGCACAGTTCTACTCTGACACACATGGGTCACCAAGAATCAGAGTTTACTTGACAGCAACTGCATTTTTAAAAGAAACCAAAATATAAATGGCAAATATATACTTGTATCTCACTGGATGGGGATTTCAAAGATAACCACCTGGCCAAGCAGCTAGTAGAGGACCCTATTCATACCCATTCCAAAGAAAGGTAATCCAACAGAATGCAGAAATTATCAAACAATAGTATTAATATCAATTAATATCAACACATAAGTAGCATCTGCTGCAAAAGACATTTTTAAAGTGTTAAAAAGCAAAGATGTCACTTTGAAGATGAAGATGCTCTTGTCCCCAGACATGGTATTTTTAATGGTCTCATATGCATGTGAAAGCTGTATTTCTTTCTTTTGTAAGTAGATGAGTCACTATGAATCCAAACAGACTTGACAGCACCTAATAACAAAAACATTGCCAGCGAGTCAACTCCAACTCATAGTGACCTTATGCCAACTGTCTTATGGGGTTTCCAAGTCTATAATCTTTACGGAAGTAGATTGCATGTCATTCTCCCGCAATATATATCTCTGTCTATGCATCTACATATACATGGGCACGTCAAAGATTTTATGGAAAATGTAATTAAAAGATAATGAAATTTTCCCATGAACTTTCTAAAGCTCCATCATACGTATGAGTGTGTGTGCGTAATCACACATATATATGTGGTAGTGGTGGTGGTTATGTGTAATGGAGTCAGTTCTGACTCATAGCAACCCTGAACGGGGTTTCCAAGGCTATAAATCTTTATGGGAGCAGAAAGCCTCATCTTTCTCCCGCGGAATAGCTGGTAGTTTTGAACTGCTGACCTTAAGGTTCACAGCCCGATTCGTAAACTGTATGCTACCAGAACTCCTTACATATGAAGGAGCTCTGGTAACATAGTGGTTACGAATTGGGCTGCGAACCGCAAGGTCAGCAGTTCGAAACTACCAGCTGCTCTGCAGGAGAAAGATGAGGTTTTCTGCTCCCGTAAAGATTTGCAGCCTCGGAAACCCTTCTCAGGGTTGCTATGGGTCAGAACCGACTCGATGGCACTTAACAACAACAACAACACTACATGTGTAGGTATGAGCATATATCAAGTCTTGCTTTCTTTCACCTTAGTCACTGTAATGGAAGATATTGGTATATCAGAGAATGACAAGAAAGAGGAAGAACCATCCACTGAAGGCCCTGCCTCTGTCACTGGTAAGTGCCACCCACTGCATTTAGAATAAATATTCAACATTTTAAGCTCGTAACCAATAAACCCAATGGTCTTTTTCAGACCTCATTTTTTCTTGAACTTTATGCCCTATAGACATGATTCCCTTTCTTGACTTAGTTGCCTCCCTGAGTTCCTTGACTTACTCTGCCTGGTTCTATTCCTTTGTTGCTAACCACTCCTCTCTGTGTCCTTCAGCTCACTCCACTTCTTCCTCCGACTTCTGAACAGTAGATATACTTCTGAGTTTATTTCTTCATCCTCTGTTCTTTCTTCTCTTGAAGAGTTTATCTGTTCTCAATAATGTCCCAGTTTCCACTAAGCAGAATATTTTATACCTAGATTTCCAGAACATTCTTCTGAACATTTGGTCCTGTTTCATTCCTGTGTTGTTTTTTTAAAATGTATCTCTAGCTGAATATTTTATCATCTCCTCAAACTCAATATCACTAAAAACCAAATAGTATCTTTATTTCCATAAATTCAGCTTGTTCAAGACATCACACACCCTAAAACCCTGGGATCATCCTTCATTCTTTTCAGTCAATTTCCAAGGATTTTTGAGTCTTCTCTTTTGGGTATTTTGTCCACCACCCTGGTCCAGCTAGTCATCATCTCCTGCATGAAGTAATACAGCTTCAGTTTTTCCTTGTGGAGCTTCAGGTTAATGCACTAGACTGCAAGGTCGATTTGAACTGCGAGGTCGGTGATTCAAATCCACCAGCCACTCCTCAGAAACCCTATACAGGGTCGCTGTGAGTCAGAACTGACTTAATGGCACTTAACAAAAACAACAACAATGTACAGGAGTAAATAACAGTTGATGGACACCTCCTATACATCTGGCATTATATTAGGCTTGGAGTCCTGGTGTGGTGCTATTGGATAAGCACTGGACCACAAGGTTGGTTTGAACTGCAAGGTCAGTGGTTCAAATCAACCAGCCATTCCTTGGAAACCCTATACAGGGTCGTTAAGAGTCAGAACCATCTCAACAGCATGTAACAACAAGAAGTCCATTTTTGAAACCCTTTTACATCTGTGTTCAGTTACGGACCCCATTTACATCTGTGTTCAGAAAACTTCTATGGTTTCTCAGTCTATAACACAGAGTCTGAAACCCAAACCTCTACTACTTATTTCTGCAGTCCTGCCTTTGATCTGCTGCAAAAGACATCTTTAAAATGTTAAAAAGCAAAGATGTCACTTAGAAAACTAAGATGCTCTTGACCTAAGCCATAGTATTTTTAATTGCCTCATATGCATGTGAAAGCCAGACAATGAATAAGGAAGACTGGAAAAGATCTGATGCATTTGAATTGTGGTGTTAACAAAGAATATGGACTATACCATGGAATGTCAGAAGAAGGATCACATCTGTCTTGGAAGAAATACAGCCAGACATCTCCTTAGCAGTGAGTCTAGCAAGACTGTCTCATGTGCTCTGGACATGTTATCAGGAGAGACATGGATACACAGGCCCTACCTGGATATACATTTTCCTCTGGAAATATCCTCCCATTTCTGGTGCATGGCCATCATTTATACTAACTGCCCCTAATTCAAGAAAAGACCTCATCATTTCTCTTCTTCTTGTTCCCTTCTTCAAAGCCAATATCGTCACTGAAAATTTCCTTCACTAACTCAACCCTCATTTCTGTCTCTGAGTCCTTGAACATATGTTTATATAAACTACACATATGGATCTAGAAATTAGCAGAAGAGTCCTTACTTTTTTATTAGTTTATTTCTTTGCATGAACAGAGAGAGAACTTCCCCCTAAAAGGCAAAGATTGCGTCTTATACAACGACTCCAACCATGGCCGTCTACTTGTAGCCAGCATTCCTAAATTGCCTGTTAGTAGAGAGAAAGGAACCAGGATATTTAGTAAAACAGCAGTCCGGAGAATCCAGTTTCAGAAAGACCTCTGAAAGTTCCTCTAGTTTATCCCTAAATACTCTCATGTAGGACCATGTTTCACCTATCCATAATAAATGAATTCTCATTTTACTTGGTATTATAAGGATTTATTTAGTATTCCAAGCCTCTTAACAACTTGCATTGCTACTTAACTACACCTTGCTAAGAAATCATTCCTTAGGACTAATTTGAATTCCCTGACTTTTAATTTTTTAATTTTAGTTTAATTAAAATTTTTTAATTTAAGTCAATTTCCTTACATGGTTTCTGGATAAATAAAAACTAACTAGCTCAGTATCTATAACCTTGTAAAAATGGTTGAAATGGCAAATGTTCTATTGTATAAATATTGCAATAATTAAAACAATTTTTTAAATAAGAACAAATCTATATAACTTAAAAGTTATTTTCAAATCATCCCACAGATTGTTTTACTTGCTTGCTTGAAGATAATGAACAATATGGGCTTCATTAGCTTCAGGGTAAAGCCTTCCCCATCTCTTCATCTGAACTACCCATCAGTCTATACTGCATTTTCAAAATAATTTATATCGTCTTCAGTGATCATTTCTTAAAAATCTGTCTAACACCCTTTGTTTCTCTTATAGAAGTGAATCTCAAGTCTATAGGATTAATGAGTAAGAAAAGTGGTGTTCTCTTGCTCATTCTTGTGTCCTTCCTCATTTTCACACTCTTCATCATTGTCCAGCTCTTCATAATGAAGCTACGGAAAGCACATATGATCTGGAAAAAAGGTGAGTGGACAGAGACACTGATGGAGGTTGTTGTTGTCAAGTGCGGTTAAGTCAGTTCCAACTCATAGCAAACATGTATAGTGTTTCTGAGGAGTGGCTGGTGGGTTTGAACTGCCGACCTTGCAATTCAAGCTGACCTTGAGGTTCAGTGCATTGTCCTGCAGCAGCACACTAGGACTCCTAATGGACACTGTTGTTGTTAAGTGCCGTTGAGTCGGTTCCCACCCATAGCGACCATGTATAGGGTTTCCAAGGAACAGCTGGAGATCACAGGATGCTAAAACAGATGGCTTGCAAAAATGAAGGGGTTGTCCATTAAAGCTTTTCCGTTAAATGTTGCATAGTCTATTTGACAAATGTTATCACTCTACGCTTATTTATTTTCCAGTAAAATTGAACTCTAGTGATACAGTGATCAAGCACTTGGCTGCTGGACAAAAAGGTCGGTGGTTCAAACCCACCAGCTGTTCTGTGGGAGAAAGATTTGGCAGTCTGCTCCCGTAAAGATTACAACCTTGGGAATGCAATGAGGCAGTTGTACTTTGTCCAGTAGGGATCGCTGTGAGGCAGATTCAACCCAACGCCAGTGGGTTTGGTTTGAGTTTTTTGTTTATAGTTAAAGAGTGTATTGCCAAGAGAAACTACAGTAGCTCTGGGATTTAACACTAAGTTTGAAGTTTCTATTCACAAAAGGATACAGTATAGAGAGTGAGTCATTCATTTATTTAGTAAACATTCACTAAGCACCTACTCTCTGTCAAGTCCTGTTCTGAAGCAGCTGGAGTGTTTGAACCACCAACTATTCAGTTAACAGTCCAGTGCTTATCCTACAGCACCACACTAGGACTCCAAGAAGTGGATATTAATCATTTAATTTTCTTTTCTTTTCTTGCAGAAAATGAAATTTCAGATCACACACTGGAAAGTTACAAATCCAGATCAAATAATGAGGAAACATCATCCCAAGAGAAAAATGGCCAAAGTAAGTAAACTATTGTTGTTGTTGTTGTTAAGTGCCATCGAGTCGGTTCCGACCCATAGCGACCCTGTACAGGGTTTCCGAGGGTGTAAATCTTTACGGGAGTAGAAAGCCTCATCTTTCTCCCGCGGAGCAGCTGGTAGTTTCGAACCGCTGACCTTAAGGTTCGCAGCCCGATTCGTAACCACTACGCTACCAGAGTAAACTATATGACCTGAGATTTCAAAAGTAAGCTTCATTAATTTGTTGCCTAAAGAAAGCAGGTAAAAATCAAAGTCCAGCTTTTAGTACTAGAAAATTAACCTCTTAAATCATCTTGCAAAACTAAAGCAAGTGCATCTCAATAGACATAAAATAGCAGTTAAGTTCATGCAACTGAAAATATGCCTCCTTGCGAAGATACCCTTGACCCATCCCCTGTTACACACAGGCACAACGGCTGGCTGTGTGCTCTCGATGGTTCCACTGTATCCTATACACTTTATATCAGTGATGCACCCTATTTTTTGTATTTTTGTGTTTTGATTTAGCTACCAGAATATGCCTTTAGATAGTAAGTGGATTTATTCTATCCTAGTGAAGAGTCTAACTGAAAGGTCAGCAGTTGGCATCTATCAGCTGTTCCATGGGAGAAAAATGAGGCTTTCAGGTCCTGTAAAGATTTATAGCCTCAGAAACCCTATACGGGGTCACTATGAGTCAGAACTGACTCAACAGCATGTAACCAACCAACCAACCAGTACAGAGTCTGGACTTCTGGTGTAGCACTGTAGGACAAACACTTGTCTGTTGACTGTAAGGTCAGCAGTTCAAACTCATCAGCTACTGCTTACACAGTTGCTATGAGTTGGAACCAACTCAATGGCACTAAACAAGAAGACAGAGACTAGCAGCAACTGAGTATCTGATAAATTTATATTGAATGAGTGAATACCAAAATGAAAATTAAAAACAATTGCTTTGGCATTGACTCCAATACATGGTGACCCTGTGTGTGTCAGATTAGAAGTGTGCTTCAAAGGGTTTTCAGTGACTGATTTTAAAGAAGTAGCTTGGCAGGCTTTTCTTCCAAGGTTATAACTTCCAACCTGCCTTTTAATAGCTGAAGGTGTTAATCGTACCACCCAGGGACTCCAAATAAACATAAGGTTTAAATAATTCAAGCAAAAGCATTTTAGGTCTTTTGGATGACTTTATTACAGTCTCTCAAGCAAAATATGTAAAGAAAATGAAAAGAGTTTAAATAGGAAGATGATTGTGCACGTGTGTGTGTTTGTGTATTCATGACAAAGATTCAGTGGACTGAATTTACAGCTGTAGTAAAATAGCAATCTTAAACCTTTTGACAATTTTATTCCTTCCATTCAAACTTATTCAATCTGCCGAGAGTGGCAAGAAATACACAAACTCTTTGCCTCCTTCCTATTTGTTTGATTGAGGTTTCTGTAGGATGTCTGACTTTTATAATTTTTGACTTAAGTAGAGTGTGAAATGAAAATAAAGAATATAGGTGCATTTGCAGAGAGAGGGACAAAGGAAGTTGACTGTGAAAACTGGGTGTGGAAGGGGAAGTGTCTGTAAACTACAGACAATCTGTTGAGCATCTATAACATCATGGTGTTCTGTAATATCGGTGGTCTTGAGTTGCCTCTTATGAAATTTTCCTTAGGCATGGGGAACCAAAACTGTAGTGTTCCTTTAGTAGGAAGGGAAAAGCTGCTGAAGAAGTCAAATACCTTGCATTTCAATTTCTTAAAAATATTTCAAATGAGTGCCTACACTCAGGCCTCCCTCCGCCAGAAAGGCAGTTTGGGTAGTAAAAGCGGCTAATTTGGTAATCTGCTTCTGAAAAAATCCATCATTAAAAACCTTACAAATACATTTTATATTTTTGTACATATTGTTAGAGGTCAGCCATTTTTAATGATCTCAGATGACCAAACCAGCCTTTGGAGAGTTCTCTGTCCTAATTCTGACTTTACTTGTGGTGTGTCCATGTTCATTATAATCTCAAAGGAGAAAAAAAAACCTTGTAAAAAAAGCAAAAACAACAACAAAAAAAATTACAATCTTATTCCGAGCATTCCAGTAACTTTTTTTGTGTATGTACTTAGCTGTCCTATAAGTAGTTGGTTTGTATGAGATGGTTAAAAAAGGCCAAAGATAAAGTTTCTTTTCCTTTTTTTTTGTCTATGAAGTTGCTGTTTATTTATTTATTTACTTATTTTTTTTTTGGCCTGTTTGATATATGTGTGAAACAACATTGTCCAACAATAAACCAGAATTTTATTTAAAAAAAAAAAAAAAACCCTACAGAACACAGGTCTACTCTGACACACAGGAGATTGCCATGAATCAGGATCAATTTTAGGGCAGCTGGTAGGGGTTTGCCATAGTTCAAAAGAGATTGTAGCAACCGCCACCCTATTTCCATCTACCTAGCCTCAGGGTCCTCAAGCATGTTGATGCTATTGTTTTTGCACACATAAAAAATATTTTCTGAGACCACCTCAACTTCAGTTTATAAAGTTGCATAGGTTTAAAATTTAAAAAATTGGCCTAGAGTCATTTCCTATTCATAGTGGCCCCATGTATGGCAGAGTAGAACTGTCCTCCATAGCACATTTGATGATTTGTCAGAAATACATCTCCAAGGCACCTCTGGCTGCCGTCAAACTTCCAACCAAGTGTGTAAACCTTTACACCACCCAGGGATACCCCCTTTCCCATAAGTCCTTTAGTATGCACTTTTGTTAAAGGCAATGTTGTTGTTGCTTTTATCAGCACCACATAGGTTCTTTCATAACAGAAATACTTGTATATTTTATGTTAGGTTTGTTAGCGTATTGTCTATGTAGCAAGACTCCAAGGAATCCTGGTGGTGCGATGGGTTAAGCATTGGGCTGCTAGCCAAAAGGTCTGCAGTTTTAATCCAACAGCCACTTCTTAAAGTAAATTAGAGGGAGTTCATCTCAGTAAACATAAAGATTTAGAGGAGAAAGATGAGGCTGTCTGCTCCTGTGAAGATTTAGAGTTTGGGAAGCTCTATGGATCAGTTTCATTCTGTAGGATCACTGGGAGTCAGAATCCACTCGACAGCGATGAGTTTGGTTCTCTTTTGGATGGTGCAGTGGTTAAGCATTCAACTGCTAACAGAAATGTTGGAAATTCAAACTCACCAGCCGTTCTGTGGAAGAAAAGACCCTGCCTTTCTGCTCCTGTCAAGATTACAGCCTAGCAAACCCTATAGGTTAGTTCCACTCTGTCCTATAAGGAGCTCTGAGAGCGTAGTGGTTACGAACCTTAAGGTCAGCAGTTCGAAACTATCAGCTGTTCCGTGGGAGAAAGATGAGGCTTTCTGCTCCTGTAAAGATTTACAGTCTCGGAAACCCTGTACAGGGTTGCTATGAGTCGGAACTGGCTCCATGGCACATAACCACCACTCTGTCCTATAGGGCCTTCATGAAAAGGAATGAACTTGGTAATAAACAACAGTAAGACTTTTTTTAAAAATTGTAATGCATTCAGTTTGTATGAATCAAAGAATTTTAGATTTGATTTTATCCGCCATTAACAAAGGGAACTGAAATTATATTACCCAATAAAATACCCAATAAATAAGTGCAACTTTATTCAATGTATTTATCTTCAACATGTTTTTCTTTCAGCTTTCCAACCTAAGAGCTGCATGAACTACGTCACACGATTATACACAGAAGCAAAATCAAAGAGGAAGGGAAATGCCCAAAATTCACAAGTACAAGGCGCACACACTCATATGCCAGAGAATGTTGTGTAGCGCTCCCTGTGACAGGAAATATTATTCCAGGGCAGCCACCCTCAGTGGATCACCCCACAAGAAGAAGCAAATGACTGTGACCTAAGTGTAATGCAAGACAGAGTCCTCAGATGAAAATCTGCCCCAGAGTCAGGGCAGCAAAATGAGGAAACAATGCTTCCCAGTTTAAAGAAACATGGCTTATTACGTCTGACACTACGTACTTCAGAGCAAGAGGATTATACTTGGCCCTATGGACCAGAGTCAATGTGATCAGCTAACATCTTACTGTGAAGGAAACAGGAGGTTTTTTTTTTTAAGTGCTAGGCTAAAGTGGAGCTCATTATATATATATATACTTTTTTTTTTTAATGTCTCTTTCTGATCTCCAAATAAAGACTATTATGACGAAATGGACGTAAAGAAGATCTCTGACTTCAATAAGGTTACTCTAAAGACAGACTTTATGAAGAGTAGCCGGTGCCTGCTGTATCAGGGAGAAATGGTGCATAATAATGAGTGGGTTTAAACAGTAGTTTAGTTTAGTTGATAAAGAAAGTCTGCTTGAGCGTTGTGCTATTTTAAAGAACTATCTTTATGGGATCAAATTGACAACAACCACTTGAAAGATTAGATGAGAAACTTAGGCGGCAGGAGTTTATGTTAGTGATGGAGGAACTTTGGAAAAGAATAGAGAACTCTTGCACACCTGAGGAATGCAATCAGTGCAACTGAATGGTACAAGGAGAAATTGCTGCATTGGTGTTTGTTTTACTGTGCATATTTTCACACAAAAAAACTTTTTTCAATAATAATAATAAATGGGTCTGATGAGCATGGATGTTTCAATCTCTAAGAAATTAGTTCAAGATAGATTCAAAGATTATATTTTCTTAGAATTCTTGCAAACTCACATGATGTTGTTGATTCAGACTCATAGCGACTGGGTCCCATGTCATTGTCATAATTGTTACATTTGAGACCATCGCTGCTGCCACCACTGTGACAGTCCATCTTCTTGGGGTTCTTCCTCTTTTTCACTGACCCTCCACTTTACCAAGCATAAAGTCCTTCTCCAGGGACTGGTCCTTCCTGATAATATACCCAAAGTATTACCCAATTTGGGAGAAAGATAAGGCTTTCTGCTCTCAAGAAGATTTAAAACCTGAGAAACCCTATACACGGTCACTATAAGTCAGAACCAACTCGATGACACTGAACAACAACAGCATTACCCCATAAGCAAAGTAAGCACATGTTTACTTGTGCTTACTAACAAATCTATCATAAACAATTTCACATTTTTTTCAGCACATCAAAGATTCTTCTTCTAGGTATGATTACCATCTGTCTCTCTCTCAATCTCACAGCGCCTTCCTACATAACTAAAGCCTCTTTTAAATTTATAATCCCTGACAGGGAAAGAGTACTTAATAAGCAACATACGCATAGGCTTACTTGTGCATATTTACTAATTTGTAGTGAATAGTTTCAAGGAGAACTGGTAACATAGTGGTTACAAATTGGGCTGTGAACCACAAGGTCAGCAGTTCAAAACTACCAGCTCTTCTATGGGAGAAAGATGAGGCTTTCTGCTCTTTTAAAGTTTTATAGCCTCAGAAAACCTATGCAGGGCCACTATGAGTCAGAGGCAACTCCACAGCACATCATCACCACCAGTGAATAGTTTTACTTTTTTCCTTTTTATTTACTCCAGATAGTTAACATAATAATGTTCAATAGTGAAGTAAGCAGATTTTATACTCACTAGTCCTGGTATAGGGACTCCTTGTATAGCACTATGGGATCAATCACTGGACCGCAAGGTTAGTTTGAACCACAAAGTCGGCAGTTCAAACTCACCAGCTGACTCAATGGCACTTAACAACAACAGTCCTGGTGTAAGGCGCTCTGGTAATGTAGTGGGTTACAAGATGGGCTGCTAACCACAGGGTCAGCAGTTCGAAACTACCAGTCGCTCAGCAGGAGAAAGATGAGGCTTTCTGCTCAGGTAGAGATTTACAGCCTCAGAAACCCAATACTGACTCCACAGTCCTGGTGTGGTGCTGAAGGATAAACACTGAACCTCAAGGTCGGTGGTTCAAACACACCAGCCGCATCTAGGAAACCCTAAACAAAGTTGTTATGAGTCTGAACTGACTCGATGGCACTTAACCACCACAACAACATCCATAAAGTAATGGATAGAAAGAGCTTTTGCAAAACCTAGCTTTCATTATACTTAATATATCTAATTATTTGATCACCCCCCCCTGCGTAAAGGAGAAATTAATAAATCATTTTTATTTTGTTTTTTAACCAAAATAAATTTAATGCAGTTCTTGCTGAACTTGCTGAATTAGACTGCTCTTTTTATCCAACTGACTACCTAAAATTCTATGTTTACTCTCCTCACAAGCTCCTGCTAACCTGCTGTTAATTGCTAGAAGCCATAAATAACAAATAACTCTGAGAATGTTTTCTTTCTAGTCAAACCAGGATATGGAAAGAATACACTCCAAGAAAGGAATGTTTTAACACAGATTGTTGTTGTTGTGAAGTGCCATCAAGTCAGTTCCGACTCATAGCGACCCTGTATAGGGTTTCCGAGGAGCAGCTGGTAAGGTTGAACTGCCAACCTTGCAGTTCAAAATGCTTTGCAGTCTGGCGCATTAACCCACAGCGCCACACCAGGATTCCAGATACACTGATGTAAAATAACCTTAAATATTCCTTTCATGATGAGACTATAGAAAAAAGTCTCAAGAAAAAGCCTTGAACTATCAACTTTTTATCTAAAGTTTCCTAGCCAACCAAGAAGGTTTCACTTAAGCAAGCAATTGCTAAGGAAAGAGTCTTGGTAGTTATTCTTATTACCAGATCCAGCCTTAAAGAATGTCTTCCATCAACTTTGACATTTTCATAACCTGTTCTGAAAAGCATACATTGTAAGCATTCTGATGTTATGAATGTAGCCCCACTAAAAAACCTTTCCCCACCCTTGGTGGTGGTGGTATGACGTGGAGTCAGTTCCGGCTCATAGTGACCCTGCACAGGGTTTCCCAGGCTGTAAATCTTTTTTTTTTTTTTCTTAAATGTTTTATTTTGAATTATGTGATAGTTTACATGGGAAATTATTAGTTTTACATTCATTCTATCGTATATCGTCTCATTGCCATGGTTACAATCCCCTCCATGCAATCCTTCCCCCGTACTCCCCCAGGTCTTCAGCACACAGTCACTCTCCCTCTGTGGATCTAAAGTCTCCAGCTGCTCCATCGCTCCACGTCATCATCTCTGGCTCCATTTCAGGCATCACTGCTCAGACTGTAAATCTTTATGGGAGCAGAAACTTCATCTTTCTCCCATGGAACAGCTGGTAGTTTCGAACTTCTGACCTTACGGTTAGTAGCTGGACTCATAACCACTACACTACCAGAGCTCTTTTCCCCCACTCGTAGTCCATCTTAATTTTGATCTCAACCAAAAATTAGCCAAATGACTGAATAATAATTTCTTTGTTTCATGAATTATATCTATCTGTGTGAGAAACTTTTAGTTGACATCATCAATTCTCACTGTGTCAACTGATTTCTTCCTGAGACAGAAAAAGGGGTCCAGAATTCAGAATTAAGTATGAGCTGCTTACTAGTTGAAATCTTGTAACTGAAGTCTTGAGGAATGTTGAGGCTTACATGACTCCTTCCTTGGGTAATTGTAAAAATGGGCAGGACAAGCTCAGGGTCATAGTTGAGAAACCACATCCTGGGATGTGCAATTAAGAAAGAACACCCATAATAATTCTACATTCTATGGGATTTGCCATTAAGGAAGACAACCCATTAAAATTTTGTATTTTTACTTCCTTGTAAAATATTTTACAGGTCGGATTGTTTTTTAAGTGCCTTAGGCATAACTTTAAGGGACACATTGCCTACTGGGACAGAGGAGAATGACAGCCTCCGGGAGGGATTTGAATCAGGGTCCCAAAGAGCTACACATGCTTTACATCCTAGAATAAGTTTTGTCTGTTCCTCCCAGAGGCCTTTGTGGTAGAATCCATCGTGTAGAAGTACTGTACATGAACCCAATTAGCATGGCCCCTCCTAAACGGACCATTTCCAAAAAATCCCCTCCTAGCCCTATAAGTGGAGTCCTGGTGTGGTGCTGTGGGTTAATGCGCCAGACTGCAAAGCCATTTGAACTGCAACGTCAGCGGTTCAAGCTTACCAGTTGCTCCTTCAAAACCCTATACAGGGTCACTATGGCTCAGAATCGACTTGACAGCACTTATCCTTATAAGTAAGCATGATGTCTTTTCCCTACCCAAAAACTTTTAAACCCCAGAAAACCCTTTGTTCAGGGAGATAGGGATTAAGCATTGCATTAAGCCCTCCACATCTCTGCTTGTAAGCCATTTTCTGATAATAAACTTTTGCTGGTATGGAAACTCTGCCTCACCTGTCTATTATTATTCAGTAGAAGGCAAGACCCTTCTCTTGAAGGGTCAAGATGTGATTGACGCTTCCTATATTTGGATATAATAATATTTTCTTTCTCTGAATAAATTAAACTTTTACAGGCTGAGGGGATTCTTCCCTAAAATGCCTGTATATAATCAATCTCCTATTTCTGCCACCCCTCTTTCTCCTTGAAGATGTCATTGTCTTTCTGCTCAGACTCAGACTTCCCATCCCAACCTTCCTATTTGGCAAGTGAAAAAGAGAGACAGGAAAAAGAAAAGCCACATTTATAGAATTCTTACTATGATTCGGGTGTGATCTGATTAAATTACCATAATAATCTTTCAGAGTTGAATTATAATGCATATTTGACATATATGTGATGCTTTAAATTCTACAAAATGGCTTTTGTTGTCATTAAGTACCGTTGAGTCGGTTCAAGCTCATAGTCGGTTCAAGCTCATAGTGACCCTATATAGACTTTCCAAGGAGCAGTGGGTAAGCTTGAACCGCCGAACTTGAGGTTCAAACTGACCTTACAGTTCAGTGCATTAATGA